ATTATTATTATTATTATTATTATTATTAATTATTATTATTATTATTGTTATTATTATTATTATTTATTATTATTATTATTATTATTAATCATTATTAATTATTGTTGTTATTATGATTAGTATTGTTATTATTGAACTGCAGTATTTTTTATAGTAGGTAATTTTTTTTTCCTTTTTTAATTCTCTAAATGCTTTTTTAAATTTACCGCATTTTATCAAACTATTCTGCATAATTAATATTTCAAAAATTAATAGCATCTCTAGCCAATTTTATTTAACATTTGGAAGCAATTAAGTTTTGACAATTATATGACAATTTTAATTGCTAAAAAAATGAAAACAAAAATACTGCGCAATGATTTATAGAATTATCGAATGGTTAGTGTTAATTAGCATTTTGAAATTATTAAAATATTCATTAAGATTTACCTGACCTTATAAAGAACTAGATAGGTGCTTGAATTTCGTAGTGTTATTTTTGACGAATCATTTAATTTTAGCTGAAAGATCTAATTAATTTATGCTCATTTTTAGTAAAATCAAATATTCGATTTACTATCTTATTATGATTAGAAACTGCTTTTTCACAATATTAATATATAAATAAATAAATAAATAAATAAATAAATATATATATATATATATATATATATATTCGGTATGTAATTATCATCGGAAATGATAGCATAAATATTTGTTATGTTTGAGTAATTGAACATTGAAATTGTTAATTAATTAAAATATTAGATTTACGGGATTAGATAATTACCCAGTAATTAATGTATAATCAAACTTCTCTATGATAAAACACCTAAAAATTTGAATTAGAAATAATATTTCGGCCGATAAAATATGCTTTCAACTAAGGGTTAAAAAAAATGCAAATAATTATGTTAAGTAATTAAGTCTTAAGTCTTTTAATTTTCATTAATTAGATATCATAAAAAATTGCTAAGGAATTTTAAGGATGAATTTGATTATACAATAAGATAAATCTGAAAATTATATTACAGATAGTTTGAAAAAAAGAAGAGTAAACGATTATTGTTTTAAATTAATTGAATCTTTAGTTTTCAATTCTTTCCGTTTTATTCTCACAAAATTCCTAAATGTATAAATGTTTGGATAATAATTGATTTATTCTTTGAATATTTTATTCACACATATTTTAATAATATGGAATCAATTCCTATCATTTTCATTATTCAATTACAAAACTACCGTAATTAAAGAAGAATCGAATTTATTCGTAATTGCTTACAGTAATAATCGATGGCAATACATGAAAGCCTTTGTAATTTTTCGGCATTTTTGGAAATTCATCACGATCAAATGTTTCAGTTATACCACTCTCACTCATATCTATTTTAAAAAATGATATTCATTTGGGAAATTAAATTATATAGTTTAAAAAAAAAAGAAAAGAAAAGAGAACGAGTAAAAAAAGAAAAGAGAACGAGTAAGCAATTACTCTGTTTAAGTAATTAAGTTATTGATTTTCATCCATTAGTTGCCATGAAAAATTGCTAAGGAATTTATAAAAAATTTGATTATACAATAAGATAAATATTACACACATAAATTTACTCATACAATAAAAATTCAAAAATAGAGAGTTTAAAAAGATACATGTAGTGAATGTAATGAATTATCAAAAAGAACAAATATAAAGCTGCATAATTTAGAGAATTATGGAATGATAACATTTCTAAACGTGTACGTTACGTGTATTACGTGTGTATCTGAATAAAAATACATTCTAATTATGCGTTAGATTCTCGTCCCATGAAGACACCTTTGATGATTGCTTCTGAAGTTGCTGTCATAAGTAAATTTCCCGTTACTGTCCATAAATGATGCTGAATAAATGCTCGACCACATTCTACAAATTCAATTTTTATGATTAATTAAGAGAAAATAAAAAAAAAAAATCAATAATTCATAATTAAAACGATTTAAAATAAAAAAAAAATTGTAAAAAACAAAAGCAAAGAAATTTATGATAAAATAATCAATTAAAAATTTTGAAAATTTATAAATTATTTCAAATATCACTGGCAAATTAATCATGATAATTGATGATAATAATTTTGAAATCATTATCATCATTATCATTCATAATTGAATGCAACCGAACGAGAGGATATTTTACTTGCGATTGAAAAATGATTTTCGCATAGAAGCCATTCATTGCTATTAATATCATTACTATGAATCCATAAACAAAAATCAACTGGTTTTAATTCAATAGGTGTAAAACCACGACTGAAAAATATTTCACATTTTTGAAAATTTTTTTTTGGAAAAATTTTGAAATTTATAATTTTTAATTTTTGAATATTTTTTATTTTATTACATTGTTCATCTATTCATTTTGATCAATAATAAATTTTCAGTTGTAATATTTGTTGGATTAAAAAGTTACGTGAATAGTATTTGATTGCGTGATTCACGTGATAACGTGAATCACGCAATCAAATAAATTGTAAAGATGTAAACTGTAAAAATAATTCTTTCAATTAATAAATTTATATATATATATATATATATATATGCTAACATTTTTCAAATTACAAAAAATTAATATTAGCATAACACAAAAATTGTTAAAACGATAAAATTAAAATAAACTTTTTAAGCTAACAAATTATAAAATAGATCTAATGGCAACCTAATATGATATCGTAACATAGATGGTAGAAGAGTTGTTTCGATGAAATATGTCGCCAATAATTTGTGATGATTTAAATTTTCATCTGTAAATTAAATTTAAACGAAAAAATAATAGCAGTAATAATTTTAATCCAAAAACTTGCTCAGAAATGATGAAATTGGCAATTTAAATTTTCATCTGTAAATTAAATTTAAGCGAAAAAATAATAGAAGTAATAATTTTAATCCAAAAACTTGCTCAGAAATGATGAAATTGGCAATTTAAATTTTCATCTGTAAATTAAATTTAAGCGAAAAAATACTAGTGATAATAATTTTAATCCAATAGTAATAATAATAATTTTAATTCACGTACTTGCTCAAAAATGATAAAACTGGCAATTTAAATTTTCATCTGTAAATTAAATTTAAACGAAAAATATTAGTAATAATTAATTTTAATCCAAAAATTTATTCAAAAGTGATAAAATTGGCAATTTAAATTTTCATCTGCAAATTAAATTTGAACGAAAAATAATAATTCGAAAACAATAAAATTGGTATAAATTGAAAAACGGAGATCAAAAATCAAAAGTTAAAAATCAGAAAAATTTTTTTATTCAAATTAATACTTACCAATTTTTTCCCTTGTTTTAGCCCAAATTTTAGTAAAAAATCCTTTCATTGTTGCTATTGCAAATGTATCAGCATCAACAATACGAATCTATAATTGTGACATATTTTCATTTTTTTTTTAACCGTATTTGATCAGCAAAAAAAAAAGGCATGACGACAAAGTTGACATATTAGCTCATTGTTTAGCTTTATTATTATTATTAATTCTTTTTTTTTTGGAAATTTAAAGTTGTTTATGGTGAGATGAAAATTTTGCAAATAATATATGCAATTAATTCTTTTTTTTTTAAAGCATAACAATATTATTTCTGATATCAATATGACATTAAAATATTATTTATCAAAATAATCAATGATAAAATTAAAAAAAAACAACCAACATCGAAGATTTCATTTTTGATATCAATAAGAAATTAAAATATTATTTATTGTTTTTGATATCAATAAGAAATTAAAATATTGTTTATCAAAATAATCAATGATAAAATTAAAAAAAAAACAACCAACATCAAAGATTTCATTTTTGATATCAATAAGAATTAAATATTATTTATTGTTTTTGATATCAATAAGAAATCAAATATTGTTTATCAAAAT